GGCCCCCTGAACTGTCTGGTCCGCCCTGGCCCCCTAAACTGTCTGGTCCGCCCTGGCCCCCTGAACTGTCTGGCCCGTCCTGGCCCCCTGAACTGTCTGGTCCGCCCTGGCCCCCTGAACTGTCTGGTCCGCCCTGGCCCCCTGAACTGTCTGGTCAGCCCTGGCCCCCTAAACTGTCTGGTCAGCCCTGGCCCCTGAACTATCTGGTCAGCCCTGGCCCCCTAAACTGTCTGGTCCGCCCTGGCCCCCTGAACTGTCTGGTCCGCCCTGGCCCCCTGAACTGTCTGGTCCGCCCTGGCCCCCTGAACTGTCTGGTCCGCCCTGGCCCCCTGAACTGTCTGGTCAGCCCTGGCCCCCTGAACTGTCTGGTCCGCCCTGGCCCCCTAAACTTTCTGGTCCGCCCTGGCCCCCTGAACTGTCTGGTCCGCCCTGGCCCCCTGAACTGTCTGGTCAGCCCTGGCCCCCTAAACTGTCCGGTCCGCCCTGGCCCCCTGAACTGTCTGGCCCGCCCTGGCCCCCTAAACTGTCTGGTCAGCCCTGGCCCCCTGAACTGTCTGCCCCGACCTGGCCCCCTGAACTGTCTGCCCCGCCCTGGCCCCCTAAACTGTCTGGTCCGCCCTGGCCCCCTGAACTGTCTGGTCCGCCCTGGCCCCCTGAACTGTCTGGTCAGCCCTGGCCCCCTGAACTGTCTGGCCCGCCCTGGCCCCCTAAACTGTCTGGTCAGCCCTGGCCCCCTGAACTGTCTGGTCCGCCCTGGCCCCCTGAACTGTCTGGTCCGCCCTGGCCCCCTGAACTCTCTGGCCCGCCCTGGCCCCCTAAACTGTCTGGTCAGCCCTGGCCCCCTAAACTGTCTGGTCCGCCCTGGCCCCCTGAACTGTCTGGTCCGCCCTGGCCCCCTAAACTGTCTGGTCAGCCCTGGCCCCCTAAACTGTCTGGTCCGCCCTGGCCCCCTGAACTGTCTGGCCCGCCCTGGCCCCCTAAACTGTCTGGTCAGCCCTGGCCCCCTGAACTGTCTGCCCCGTCCTGGCCCCCTAAACTGTCTGGTCCGCCCTGGCCCCCTAAACTGTCTGGTCCGCCCTGGCCCCCTGAACTGTCTGGCCCGCCCTGGCCCCCTGAACTGTCTGTTCAGCCCTGGCCCCCTGAACTGTCTGCCCCTAAACTGTCTGGTCCGCCCTGGCCCCCTGAACTGTCTGGCCCGCCCTGGCCCCCTGAACTGTCTGTTCAGCCCTGGCCCCCTGAACTGTCTGCCCCGTCCTGGCCCCCTGAACTGTCTGCCCCGCCCTGGCCCCTAAACTGTCTGGTCAGCCCTGGCCCCCTAAACTGTCTGGTCAGCCCTGGCCCCCTAAACTGTCTGGTCAGCCCTGGCCCCCTAAACTGTCTGGTCAGCCCTGGCCCCCTAAACTGTCTGGTCCGCCCTGGCCCCCTGAACTGTCTGGTCCGCCCTGGCCCCCTGAACTGTCTGGTCCGCCCTGGCCCCCTAAACTGTCTGGTCAGCCCTGGCCCCCTAAACTGTCTGGTCCCCCCTGGCCCCCTGAACTGTCTGGCCCGCCCTGGCCCCCTAAACTGTCTGGTCAGCCCTGGCCCCCTAAACTGTCTGGTCCGCCCTGGCCCCCTGAACTGTCTGGTCCGCCCTGGCCCCCTAAACTGTCTGGTCAGCCCTGGCCCCCTAAACTGTCTGGTCCGCCCTGGCCCCCTGAACTGTCTGGCCCGCCCTGGCCCCCTGAACTGTCTGGCCCGCCCTGGCCCCCTGAACTGTCTGGTCAGCCCTGGCCCCCTGAACTGTCTGCCCCGTCCTGGCCCCCTGAACTGTCTGCCCCGCCCTGGCCCCCTAAACTGTCTGGTCAGCCCTGGCCCCCTAAACTGTCTGGTCAGCCCTGTTCCCCTAAACTGTCTGGTCCGCCCTGGCCCCCTGAACTGTCTGGCCCGCCCTGGCCCCCTGAACTGTCTGGTCCGCCCTGGCCCCCTAAACTGTCTGGTCAGCCCTGGCCCCCTGAACTGTCTGGTCCGCCCTGGCCCCCTCAACTGTCTGGTCCGCCCTGGCCCCCTGAACTGTCTGGTCAGCCCTGGCCCCCTGAACTGTCTGGCCTGCCCTGGCCTCCTAAACTGCCTGGTCAGCCCAAGCCCCCTGAACTGTCTGGTCCGCCCTGGCCCACTGAACTGTCTGGTCCGCCCTGGCCCCCTGAACTCTCTGGCCCGCCCTGGCCCCCTAAACTGTCTGGTCAGCCCTGGCCCCCTAAACTGTCTGGTCCGCCCTGGCCCCCTGAACTGTCTGGTCCGCCCTGGCCCCCTGAAATCTCTGGTCCGCCCTGGCCCCCTAAACTGTCTGGTCAGCCCTGGCCCCCTAAACTGTCTGGTCCGCCCTGGCCCCCTAAACTGTCTGGTCCGCCCTGGCCCCCTAAACTGTCTGGTCCGCCCTGGCCCCCTGAACTGTCTGGCCCGCCCTGGCCCCCTAAACTGTCTGGTCAGCCCTGGCCCCCTGAACTGTCTGCCCCGTCCTGGCCCCCTGAACTGTCTTTCCCGCCCTGGCCCCCTAAACTGTCTGGTCAGCCCTGGCCCCCTAAACTGTCTGGTCAGCCCTGGCCCCCTAAACTGTCTGGTCCGCCCTGGCCCCCTGAACTGTCTGGCCCGCCCTGGCCCCCTGAACTGTCTGCCCCGCCCTGGCCCCCTAAACTGTCTGGTCAGCCCTGGCCCCCTAAACTGTCTGCCCCGCCCTGGCCCCCTGAACTGTCTGGTCCACCCTGGCCCCCTGAACTGTCTGGTCCGCCCTGGCCCCCTGAACTGTCTGGTCCGCCCTGGCCCCCTAAACTGTCTGGTCCGCCCTGGCCCCCTGAACTGTCTGGTCAGCCCTGGCCCCCTAAACTGTCTGCCCCGCCCTGGCCCCCTGAACTGTCTGGTCCGCCCTGGCCCCCTGAACTGTCTGGTCCGCCCTGGCCCCCTGAACTGTCTGCCCCGCCCTGGCCCCCTGAACTGTCTGGTCCGCCCTGGCCCCCTGAACTGTCTGGTCCGCCCTGGCCCCCTGAACTGTCTGGTCAGCCCTGGCCCCCTAAACTGTCTGGTCCGCCCTGGCCCCCTAAACTGTCTGGTCCGCCCTGGCCCCCTGAACTGTCTGGTCAGCCCTGGCCCCCTGAACTGTCTGGTCCGCCCTGGCCCCCTGAACTGTCTGGTCCGCCCTGGCCCCCTGAACTGTCTGGTCCGCCCTGGCCCCCTAAACTGTCTGGTCAGCCCTGGCCCCCTGAACTGTCTGGTCAGCCCTGGCCCCCTAAACTGTCTGCCCCGCCCTGGCCCCCTGAACTGTCTGGTCCGCCCTGGCCCCCTGAACTGTCTGGTCCGCCCTGGCCCCCTGAACTGTCTGGTCCGCCCTGGCCCCCTGAACTGTCTGGTCCGCCCTGGCCCCCTGTGAACTGTCTGGTCCGCCCTGGCCCCCTGAACTGTCTGGTCCGCCCTGGCCCCCTGTGAACTGTCTGGTCCGCCATGGCCCCCTAAAATGTCTGGTCAGCCCTGGCCCCCTGAACTGTCTGGTCCGCCCTGGCCCCCTAAACTGTCTGGTCCGCCCTGGCCCCCTAAACTGTCTGGTCCGCCCTGGCCCCCTAAACTGTCTGGCCCGCCCTGGCCCCCTGAACTGTCTGGTCCGCCCTGGCCCCCTGAACTGTCTGGTCCGCCCTGGCCCCCTGAACGGTCTGGTCCGCCCTGGCCCCCTGAACTGTCTGGTCCGCCCTGGCCCCCTAAACTGTCTGGTCCGCCCTGGCCCCCTAAACTGTCTGGTCCGCCCTGGCCCCCTAAACTGTCTGGCCCGCCCTGGCCCCCTGAACTGTCTGGTCCGCCCTGGCCCCCTGAACTGTCTGGCCCGCCCTGGCCCCCTAAACTGTCTGGTCCGCCCTGGCCCCCTAAACTGTCTGGTCCGCCCTGGCCCCCTGAACGGTCTGGTCCGCCCTGGCCCCCTGAACTGTCTGGTCCGCCCTGGCCCCCTAAACTGTCTGGTCCGCCCTGGCCCCCTAAACTGTCTGGTCCGCCCTGGCCCCCTAAACTGTCTGGCCCGCCCTGGCCCCCTGAACTGTCTGGTCCGCCCTGGCCCCCTGAACTGTCTGGCCCGCCCTGGCCCCCTGAACTGTCTGGTCCGCCCTGGCCCCCTAAACTGTCTGGTCAGCCCTGGCCCCCTAAACTGTCTAGTGCCACCCACGCTCCACGGCCTTGTTTATTTATATCTAGTTTATCGTTTGTTGCTGATTTTTGTTCATGGTATTCAGCTGCAACAGAATGTCTTGGCAAAACACAAAATAAATATGTTTGATATCTAAATAAATCTAATCTAATCTAATCATAAATCTAATGGTATCTAATAAAACAGTGAATTCTCTCTCTGTTGCCTATCCTCATTAAGATCAATAAGCTGACAATGAGAGTGTTGATGTGATGTCCTTTGCTTTCCTGTCAGTAGATATTTCATAATCTAGATCAACAAAAACATCGATAATTCTGATAACATGCCATTGGTTGTATCTACTGACTTGTTTATTACTTTTCTGACAATTATTCCAGTAAGTTGTCTTTACTTATACTTATATTTGCTAGAAAAGCAAGCGTTTATGTCTCAGACTAACTGAAGCTATTTGGTCAAAGACATTAATCTGCTTACAAATCAGCCAATGAGAGTCATGTGTGAAGACTTAAAGGTCAGAGGAAAGAAACGTGCAATGCACAAGTGTAAAGGACCACAATTGGGCATCACAAAGTACCGATAAACAGATATGACAAAGTCTGATTCTGAAAAAAAAAAGTAAATTCGTGCATAGTTTGAACTTTAATATGTTTCAAAAGGTTTTGCACAAAGCCATACTGGATAATACAACATTGGTTTTGGCTGGAACGTGATTTTACAGTCAGTCTAATGCGTGGCTGTTAGTGGACAGATTATAATTCTAAGCACTTTTAATACACTTTTCCAGCAGAAACTGTTGCTGACATTATTCTACAACCATTCCACATGAACGTATTTAACGTACCTGATGAGTTGGAGTCTTTCAACAACACAATGGAGTTTAGGCCTGAGGATGAAGAGATCGTTGGATCTGCCATATCACAGTTTTAATGGATGTTAAACTACAGGTGAAAGTCGATAGGTTAGGAACAGTGCTCAGCGCTCGTCTGAAGTGTTGAAGTGTAGCGAGTCGAAATGTTTCAGTGGATTAATGTAGTCTTGAGGCGTACCAGGGGTGTGTTTAAACTCTTTAAGTAGCTTTTGCCTTGGCATGTAGTTTTATAGATTTAAAAAAAATTTAGTACCAATCCCATGGGACAATGTACTTGCGGAATATACAATAAAAAAAAGTTAACAAATTAAATTATGGTTAACAAAAGGGCGTTTCTTCCTTCAAATGGAGGTGTAAGTGAAAGATAATATCCAAATAGAAAAATAAAACTACAAATAAACTCCCTAAAACGCCTCCATTGTAGTCTTGAGTTTCTTCCAGGAACGAAAACCTCCCAATATTCCTCATTATAATAATTCATACGCAGAATAAAGGGGCGGGGCCTGGTTGAGTTAGTCAGTAGTGTGTTAAACTGGCTGTTATGGAAAGGGGCGGGACATTTCCCAAACACACTCGAAGCGCTCGACCAATCACAACACACTGATCCAGCCGACCAATCAGAGCACAGTGTGCTTTTCAGGAGGAGGGGCTTCATAGAGACAGGAAGTAAACAGAGCGTTACTGACAGACTGGGAAGAGAGGTGTAGCGGCTGGACCAATCAGACACACAATTGTTCATTATAATTAATGAATAATCTAACGGACCCTGCAAGATATTCCCGGTAGGGGAAGGTGGACGAATGCAACAGCACAGGAATAAGGCCACAAGGCCCATGATATAGACTTCTCTCCATTAATTCATAGAAAAGCTTTTTATGAACGAACATGCACATCCCCAGGACATTGTGTGTATTGTGTTAGATAGATACACACAATGGGTTTGGCAGGGGTTTTGGCAGGCCGAGGTGGAGTTGGACGGACCAAGGACCATTTATTTTTCTGAACCCAAGACTGAACTATTTCCAGCTGTGATCCTCGGAGAGTCTCTGGCCTCTCGATCTATCCTCCTCACCTGCATCAGGGCAATATAGACACGTGCTTTCCCAGACAGAAGCTCAACAATCTTTTGCTGCACATCAGAACTATATTCTTTGGTTTTAGTCATTGTGATGGTGATGGATGATTATGGGAATTTGACCTTTTTGTTCCCTCATATTAATAATCCTTTCAAACAGGAATACTTCAGAGATCTTCAGAAATTGTACTCATAATAATTTAAAGGGGTGCCAATAATTCTGACCATTACTGTGTGTGTGTGTTTGTGTGTGTGTGTGTGTGTGTGTGTGTGATGAATTTCTGAATTTAGCTGAACACATCTTTATTATTGCCTCAGTATCTCTTTGAATCATAAGGGTTTATTGAGCCCTGCGGACTGACAGTCCCCCCTACTGGCCGGAGCAGGACACTGGGACACTGATATACACTACACACTGGGACACTAATATACACTGACTGTATAGTATGGAAGTAGATGTATTCAGACGCAGTGTATGTCTTTCTACACGGGGAGGCTTGTTTCTTGGATCTCGTGTTGCTTCTGGAGGAAACTTCCTTGGGATTTTCATATCTTTAGACCTTGATTTAGACCTTAATTTATGAAAAAATAAATAACTTATATATATTATATAGGCTAGATGCATGTAAGTGATCTATATCACATTTTTTTCTTTCAGTCATGTTATGTTTGGCTTTGTATGATTATCCCTTGGCATATGTTTTATTTACAACCCGTAATATAATATAGCCTAATATAAGATAAGATAATATAATATAAAATAAAAATTGCCGGGTGTGATCACCAGCAGCAGTAAACTATACTCTGCTCTCATTCATAAAAGACTCTCATCAGTCAACATTTACTTGATGAACTGTTCCACTCGGACGCAGCAGTAGGGAGCGATCAAGCCCCGCTCGATAAAGTACATGAGTTTAAAGCGCTAATCAGCTGTTTTTAAAATAAAACCTTTTGTAAGTACTCCTTTACAAAAAGTCGCACGAAATAACCGAGTATAATGTATTTCTAAAATGATATCCAGCGAAACTAGTCTTGAACTTTCTCCCCCCGTCGACGAAGCCGGAGTGGTTCAGTCCATGGAAGCGGAAGTTCTGACAGGCGAACGCAGAGCGAGCGGAGTGAAGTTACAGGCACTTGTATGAGTTTGTGTTGATGTATTGAAAACGGCGGCGTAAACATCAAAGAGAGATATAGAGATGCGACGGAAGCAGAAGAGATTATTGCAGATCGCGTTTCTGCTCATCGTGGCCTTTCTGTTCTTGCCGAACGTCGGCTTGTGGTCCGCGTCTCTGGAGCGGTTGTTGGACAGCAGTTCTGCGGACGGACCCGGACTCTCTCACACACAGGTACCGCAGATCTCTCTCAGAAACACTGAACTCTCACTGTCACTGCGATACAAGCCTCTCTGACGACTTCTGTCATCTCCGTCTGAACCGCACGCGAGGAACGCGACGCGACCAGAACGCTGTCGCTGAGGGTTTGTCGCGTCGCGCGCACTCTGTCAACGTGGTAACAAGTTATCGGTTGATCGGTAATTAATTATATGGTTCTTTTGAACGAAGTTCACAGTTTAGACACTGTTCTATACTTGTGTCATTTGTCATTGAAATTAAACACAAATGTCCCATATTTTAAACATTAAAGTTGTTAACTTTTTCTTTTTTTGTGGCTATTAATTTAAATAAAAGTATTAATATAAAAATTGTCTGTTAAAATGATTTATATGACAATTACACTGGTTGTTTAGCACTTTTTTGCACTTCAGAGCTAAATTGATTTTATTAGTATTTGCGTTTATTTTAATTTCAGTGCAGAGATAACTATTTCATTTTGGAAATATATTAGTTAAAAACTGTACTTGTAATAAAAAATAATTCATACGCAGAATAAAGGGGCGGGGCCTGGGTGAGTTAGTTATTAGTGTGTTAAACTGGCGGTTATGGTAAGGGGCGGGGCATTTCCCAAACACACTCGAAGCGCTCGACCAATCACAACACACTGCTCCAGCCGACCAATCAGAGCACAGTGTGCTTTCAGAAGGAGGGGCTTCATAGAGACAGGAAGTAAACAGAGCGTTACTGACAGACTGGGAAGAGAGGAGCCGCAACAATGGAGAATATGAGGAGAATAATCAACATTCAAGCAGGAAAACCTTTTATAGTATCAAGACTTTTAAAAAAAGGGCATACGTTGAAGTTTCGTTATATGCTTGTGACTTACGAAGCGACCTTGAGTTTAAAGAAAGGCACTATATAAAATAAACATACCATTAAAGAACACATTGGCATTGCTTGAAGTCACAAGAAGCAATACAACAACGAGTGTTTTAATGTTTTCACTAAGCATTGTGTATTTTGATGTATCTGATCTTCCCATGTTCGGTTACAGACCGGCAACTTTACATCTGTAACATGACAGTGTTGAAAGATGAAATACTGGATATCTACAATACTTTCCCCCTCACTTTATTTTGATTTTCTCCACATAAACCAAATACATCACTCAATTACAGATGCCATTGAGATATCCCATTTAATCCTTATTAAGTATAATAATTCCATCTCTCTTGTAAATAAAAAGGACCATGCAGCAAAACGAGATATACAATTATGGATCTGTCATATGATGCAAATTATGTTCAAACAGCATTCACACTAATTCAAAAATAAAGGAAAGGGGGAAATAAAACAATAGCAGAAGTACATATAATATATCCATAATGATAGTAAAATAAATAAGTAAAGCACCATTAAAAACTTGGTCATCCAGAAGCCATTCTAGTTTGACAAAATGAGAAATATAATTAATCAACGAAGAATGAGTAGGCGATTTCCAATTTATTAAAATTAGACGTCTTGCCAAGAGTGTGAGAAAAGTCTTATATGTGTGTGTGTGAAGCGGAGAGAGAGCAGCCGCAGGTTCATCATGAGCTCGAGAGGTTGAGCTGATGTGTGAGCGCAGCGATCGAGCCGGAAGAGCAGGCCTTCATCGGGCCGGCTGTGAAAGGCGGTGTGTGTTCTGCTGTCCACACGTGTGTGTGCGCTGGCCCGGGGCCAGGCCGAGGGCTGTTAGCGCCTCTGTGATGAGCGGCAGGTGCTGCTGGGCTCGCTTATAACACCCTGGAGGTGACGTGCGCCCGAAGCCAAAACACACACGTATGAGCCCGTGTGTACGCCAGAACCTGCGCTACTCCGCGTTATAACCCCAGTCAGAGGAAGAGTGTGCACATGCGTCTCCTCCCCGACACAACCATATCTGAGCTGACAACGCCTCGTTTACTACGCATGTCCTCATCTGCATATCATTAGCATATGCATATTCATCCACGTGATCCATGTTTAACAGTACAAGACATTAGGAGAATATGAGATACGGATGTGCGTCACATTACAGTGCTAACAATCATTTAGTAGCCGTTTTTGAATAAATAAATCAAATACATTTCAGAGACAGTTTTTCTCAATCTTTTCCACTGGCCAAATAGTATTTTTATAAATGAGACTCCCGATCCCACACGTCCCCATATCTCTAACTCATTCCTCTGCTTTACCACATGTGTGAGTTTAGTGCCAAGAGCATTTAGATGTACTTGTTATTTTGCTGTTTATTATGGACACTGTTTGCTTTTAAAAAACAGACACGTAGCAGACAATCCCTGTTTGCACACTCGTACTACGCCCTGTAAGTGTGCACCCTTTAACAAACACACACTTTTGACTAGACAAGTATTCCCGTACTGTTAGAGTAAACCGGCCTGTCAATCATCCTGTCACACATTAGTAGCAACTCTGCTCATGTTTATTACATAATCATGCATCAGTGTTTCTCAACCCTGCCCCTGGCGTACCCCCAACACTGCACGTTTTCTTTGTTTCCCTAATCAAACACACCTGATTCAACTCATCAGAGCATTATCACATGTGAAACGTGCAGTGTTGGGGGTCCTTCAGGGGCAGGGTTGAGAAACACTGAATTAGAAGACGGGCAAACAAACATGTCATTTTGCTATTGTGCTGTTCATGTTGTTGTTTCAGATTTAATATGACACTGGTAACATAAAAGTGGACCTATTACACCCCTTTTTACAAGATGTAATATTACTCTCACTGTCCCCAGAATGTGTGTGTGAAGTTTCAGCTCAAAATACCTCAGATCAGTTATTATATCATGTTGTAAATGCCCATTTTTGAGTGGAAGGACAAACTTGCTGTTTTTGTGCTTGTGTCTTTAAATGCAAATGAGCTGTTGCTCCACCCCTTTCCAGAAGAGGGCGGAGCCTGTACAGCTCGCGCCTCGGATACTCTGCCGAAAACTAAAACATATGTTTGGTTTTGATTATAATCTCACGCTCATGTGACATTGCAGTTCTTCATCATCATGAAAGTGTCTTATCTGCATGCGTTTTAAAGCCATATCAGTCTGAACTTCTGATATATGGTTTGAGCGCACACACACCGAATCACGCGCACAGAAAGCTGCTGTCAGACGGAGCGTCCCGTGAGTGTTTAACTAAGTGCTCTTTCACGTCTTATTGAGCTTAAACTGTCAAATACACACAAGGTTCACATGAACACAATCGGTTATGTCTGTGAACGTAAACAGCAGGGATAGAAATCGCGTGTGTGTATTAGATCTGTGTATTAGAGTGACAGCAGTGTAATATACTGAACCTATATGTATATGAATCAAACAACTAAAGAAAAACAAAATATCACTCACTGCTCTTGACGGATTAACTTTAGTAGCTTTAATAAGAATACATTTCTTACTTGAACGCTGCTGTTAAACGCTCTGACGAGGAGATGAACATGCAGAGTGTGTTCACTGTGGGCGGGGCCTGTGCTAATTGGGCGGAGTCTGTCAGCAGTTGTGGGCGGAGTCTACGCATATGTGACGTCACAAAAGCTAAAATCTGCAATCGTGGCGATGTGCAATATATCCTTGCAGCTCCAAAGTAGAGTTAATATTAGTCAATTATTTCACAACCTTCAGTATACACTTGGAAAAATACAGAGGTCGTGACCTGGGACCTTTATGATCCATAATTGGCTCTAAAATATTTAGTAATGTATCTTGAAATTCATTCGGTTCTGGTATTTTTCCCCCCAACCCTAGAAGCAAGGTTTGCTCTTCCTCCTCCTCTTCCTCAGGTGCTCTCTCTGTTTCTCCAGGTTTGGTGTTCTGCTTTTCAGATAATGCACTACTCTCACTCAAGCTTCATGTGTGTGTTTTCAGAGACCGAAGGGACACCGAGTGCAGAACGACGGTGTTCGGAAACGGGACTGGCATGACTACGCCGCTATTAAGAGTGAGGCGGCGCGCTCAGGTACGCCATGTCATGTGCTCAACAGAAAAATGCTTGCTAAAAGTTGGATTTTACTCATTTTTTTTCCCGTTTGAATTTTTCTGGATTCTGTTTTTGTTCTGGACTCTATTTTAATGGTTAAATTAAATTGTATTAATCAAAAAGAATGTCTAATTAATTGAAATCATGAAACTTAAACAATTGAACAGCAATTCATTAAAAGTTTAACAAAAAAAAAATATTTGAAATTTTCATTTTTTCATTTTTCTTGATTTCATTTTCATGGTTTAATCAAAAACATCTCTACACACACCGCGGGTCCGCTTACATCCACGTGTTTCTACGGTGGCCCTGAGCGGACAAACGCGTTTCCTCACAATGTTCTTCTTCGTGATCAGAAGCTGCTAAAGTCAGCGAATAAAACACTGACACAATGATGAACAAGTCACAACAATATTCGCAATAACATCGTTTTACTGAATAATCAAGTAAACATAATTTCTTAATTTGTCTTTGTAAAGAAACCTCAGTGTTTAACTGGCTACTCTCTGCTGTCTCAGGCGACGACATCACTTCCTGTCGCCCACCAACTCCAAATATTTTTTACAGTGCAGAAATTCCATTTTTATGAGTGTATTCCCCATAACTGTGTGTGTGTGTGTGTCAGGTGTGGGCGAGCAGGGCCGGCCGTACCCCCTCAGCGACTCGGACCGTGTGGATCAGGCCTATAGAGAGAACGGCTTCAACATCTTCGTCAGTAACCGGATCTCCCTCAACAGATCCCTGCCCGACATCAGACACCCGAAGTGAGTCTGGTACACACACACGAGTCTGATACACACACTCCTGCCCGACATCAGACACCCGAAGTGAGTCTGATACACACACATGAGTCTGATACACACACTCCTGCCCGACATCAGACACCCGAAGTGAGTCTGATACACACACACACGAGTCTGATACACACACATGAGTCTGATACACACACTCCTGCCCGACATCAGACACCCGAAGTGAGTCTGATACACACACACGAGTCTGATACACACACACGAGTCTGATACACACACTCCTGCCCGACATCAGACACCCGAAGTGAGTCTGATACACACACACACGAGTCTGATACACACACATGAGTCTGATACACACACTCCTGCCCGACATCAGACACCCGAAGTGAGTCTGATACACACACACACGAGTCTGATACACACACACGAGTCTGATACACACACATGAGTCTGATACACACACACGAGTCTGATACACACACACGAGTCTGATACACACACTCCTGCCCGACATCAGACACCCGAAGTGAGTCTGATACACACACACGAGTCTGATACACACACATGAGTCTGATACACACACTCCTGCCCGACATCAGACACCCGAAGTGAGTCTGATACACACACACGAGTCTGATACACACACACGAGTCTGATACACACACACGAGTCTGATACACACACACGAGTCTGATACACACACTCCTGCCCGACATCAGACACCCGAAGTGAGTCTGATACACACACACAAGTCTGATACACACACATGAGTCTGATACACACACTCCTGCCCGACATCAGACACCCGAAGTGAGTCTGATACACACACACGAGTCTGATACACACACATGAGTCTGATACACACACTCCTGCCCGACATCAGACACCCGAAGTGAGTCTGATACACACACACGAGTCTGATACACACACTCCTGCCCGACATCAGACACCCGAAGTGAGTCTGATACACACACACGAGTCTGATACACACACACGAGTCTGATACACACACACGAGTCTGATACACACACTCCTGCCCGACATCAGACACCCGAAGTGAGTCTGATACACACACACAAGTCTGATACACACACATGAGTCTGATACACACACTCCTGCCCGACATCAGACACCCGAAGTGAGTCTGATACACACACACGAGTCTGATACACACACATGAGTCTGATACACACACTCCTGCCCGACATCAGACACCCGAAGTGAGTCTGATACACACACACGAGTCTGATACACACACTCCTGCCCGACATCAGACACCCGAAGTGAGTCTGATACACACACACGAGTCTGATACACACACATGAGTCTGATACACACACTCCTGCCCGACATCAGACACCCGAAGTGAGTCTGATACACACACACAAGTCTGATACACACACACGAGTCTGATACACACACTCCTGCCCGACATCAGACACCCGAAGTGAGTCTGGTACACACACACGAGTCTGATACACACACTCCTGCCCGACATCAGACACCCGAAGTGAGTCTGATAAACACACACGAGTCTGATACACACACATGAGTCTGATACACACACTCCTGCCCGACATCAGACACCCGAAGTGAGTCTGATACACACACACGAGTCTGATACACACACATGAGTCTGATACACACACTCCTGCCCGACATCAGACACCCGAAGTGAGTCTGATACACACACACGAGTCTGATACACACACTCCTGCCCGACATCAGACACCCGAAGTGAGTCTGATACACACACACGAGTCTGATACACACACATGAGTCTGATACACACACTCCTGCCCGACATCAGACACCCGAAGTGAGTCTGATACACACACACGAGTCTGATACACACACATGAGTCTGATACAAACACTCCTGCCCGACATCAGACACCCGAAGTGAGTCTGATACACACACACGAGTCTGATACACACACATGAGTCTGATACACACACTCCTGCCCGACATCAGACACCCGAAGTGAGTCTGATACACACACACGAGTCTGATACACACACATGAGTCTGATACACACACTCCTGCCCGACATCAGACACCCGAAGTGAGTCTGATACACACACACGAGTCTGATACACACACTCCTGCCCGACATCAGACACCCGAAGTGAGTCTGATACACACACACGAGTCTGATACACACACATGAGTCTGATACACACACTCCTGCCCGACATCAGACACCCGAAGTGAGTCTGATACACACACACGAGTCTGATACACACACATGAGTCTGATACAAACACACGAGTCTGATACACACACACACGAGTCTGATACACACACATGAGTCTGATACACACACTCCTGCCCGACATCAGACACCCGAAGTGAGTCTGATACACACACACGAGTCTGATACACACACACGAGTCTGATACAAACACACGAGTCTGATACACACACACGAGTCTGATACACACACTCCTGCCCGACATCAGACACCCGAAGTGAGTCTGATACACACACACGAGTCTGATACACACACTCCTGCCCGACATCAGACACCCGAAGTGAGTCTGATACACACACACGAGTCTGATACACACACACGAGTCTGATACACACACACGAGTCTGATACACACACTCCTGCCCGACATCAGACACCCGAAGTGAGTCTGATACACACACACGAGTCTGATACACACACTCCTGCCCGACATCAGACACCCGAAGTGAGTCTGATACACACACACGAGTCTGATACACACACTCCTGCCCGACATCAGACACCCGAAGTGAGTCTGATACACACACACACGAGTCTGATACACACACACGAGTCTGATATACACACATGAGTCTGATACACACACACAAGTCTGATACACACACACGAGTCTGATACACACACTCCTGCCCGACATCAGACACCCGAAGTGAGTCTGATACACACACACGAGTCTGATACACACACACGAGTCTGATACACACACACGAGTCTGATACACACACTCCTGCCCGACATCAGACACCCGAAGTGAGTCTGATACACACACACAAGTCTGATACACACACATGAGTCTGATACACACACTCCTGCCCGACATCAGACACCCGAAGTGAGTCTGATACACACACGAGTCTGATACACACACATGAGTCTGATACACACACTCCTGCCCGACATCAGACACCCGAAGTGAGTCTGATACACACACACGAGTCTGATACACACACTCCTGCCCGACATCAGACACCCGAAGTGAGTCTGATACACACACACGAGTCTGATACACACACATGAGTCTGATACACACACTCCTGCCCGACATCAGACACCCGAAGTGAGTCTGATACACACACACAAGTCTGATACACACACACGAGTCTGATACACACACTCCTGCCCGACATCAGACACCCGAAGTGAGTCTGGTACACACACACGAGTCTGATACACACACTCCTGCCCGACATCAGACACCCGAAGTGAGTCTGATACACACACACGAGTCTGATACACACACATGAGTCTGATACACACACTCCTGCCCGACATCAGACACCCGAAGTGAGTCTGATACACACACACGAGTCTGATACACACACATGAGTCTGATACACACACTCCTGCCCGACATCAGACACCCGAAGTGAGTCTGATACACACACACGAGTCTGATACACACACTCCTGCCCGACATCAGACACCCGAAGTGAGTCTGATACACACACACGAGTCTGATACAAACACATGAGTCTGATACACACACTCCTGCCCGACATCAGACACCCGAAGTGAGTCTGATACACACACACGAGTCTGATACACACACATGAGTCTGATACAAACACTCCTGCCCGACATCAGACACCCGAAGTGAGTCTGATACACACACACGAGTCTGATACACACACATGAGTCTGATACACACACTCCTGCCCGACATCAGACACCCGAAGTGAGTCTGATACACACACACAAGTCTGATACACACACACGAGTCTGATACACACACTCCTGCCCGACATCAGACACCCGAAGTGAGTCTGGTACACACACACGAGTCTGATACACACACTCCTGCCCGACATCAGACACCCGAAGTGAGTCTGATACACACACACGAGTCTGATACACACACATGAGTCTGATACACACACTCCTGCCCGACATCAGACACCCGAAGTGAGTCTGATACACACACACGAGTCTGATACACACACATGAGTCTGATACACACACTCCTGCCCGACATCAGACACCCGAAGTGAGTCTGATACACACACACGAGTCTGATACACACACATGAGTCTGATACACACACTCCTGCCCGACATCAGACACCCGAAGTGAGTCTGATACACACACACGAGTCTGATACACACACATGAGTCTGATACAAACACTCCTGCCCGACATCAGACACCCGAAGTGAGTCTGATACACACACACGAGTCTGATACACACACTCCTGCTCGACATCAGACACCCGAAGTGAGTCTGATACACACACACGAGTCTGATACACACACATGAGTCTGATACACACACTCCTGCCCGACATCAGACACCCGAAGTGAGTCTGATACACACACACGAGTCTGATACACACACATGAGTCTGATACACACACTCCTGCCCGACATCAGACACCCGAAGTGAGTCTGATACACACACACGAGTCTGATACACACACATGAGTCTGATACAAACACTCCTGCCCGACATCAGACACCCGAAGTGAGTCTGATACACACACACGAGTCTGATACACACACTCCTGCTCGACATTAGACACCCGAAGTGAGTCTGATACACACACACGAGTCTGATACACACACTCCTGCTCGACATCAGACACCCGAAGTGAGTCTGATACACACACACGAGTCTGATACAAACACTCCTGCCCGACATCAGACACCCGAAGTGAGTCTGATACACACACACGAGTCTGATACACACACTCCTGCCCGACATCAGACACCCGAAGTGAGTCTGATACACACACACGAGTCTGATACACACACATGAGTCTG